CCTAAAGAAGAAATTAAAGAGTTAATAATAGATGAAAGTTGCGATTTTGTTAAAGAGCTTTTAGTTTTTTGAAAATCCCCTCTTTACATGTTATAGGTATTGGATGCCAAATCTCCAATGCCATTTTGTTAATTAGTTTAGCTTTAATAAATTCGATTCTCTTTATATTCACAATTTCGCTAAATCATTTCATTTCTTCACTTATTTTTTGTTCACCACTTATAACTTGAAAAACATGATTATTAGCTTTTGGATTTATAAATTGGGTTTTTCTTATTTGAGCACGATAACAACTTGATTCATCAGTAAAACCAGGACGTGTACGAGGTTCTTGGGTTTCACTTTCAGAATACTCTATTAGCTTAAAAAGATTAGTACGCAATTTCAAAAACTTAGTACAATTACATGCTGCAATTTCCCAATATGTTGTGAAGGTATCAGAGGAATTAATGATTTGAGCGCCCTATTAATTTCTTCAAGTATTGCATCGTGGCCTTGATGTTGATTCGAAAGTTTGGATCGTGAAGTTACGATTCTCTCTTGGATTAAGTTGAAAACTTCAGGCTTCAATTATAACATTTGCTCTTCATCATAAACCGATAAATTGGATGCTATCAAGCAAACCAAATAGGCGCAAACATTCTTCTAGCCACAAGCTTAGTAAAAACCTATTAAAATGAACTCTAGTATGAAAGCTAATAATTGTTTGCAAATAAAAAAAGAATTGTTCATACTTTAATTTATATATAGGATCCATTTGTTCTTGGGCTCATTTTAAATAATCTTTGACAGAAAGGTTTTCTTCATACATAACATATGGCCACATCAATTCAGATGCCATTGCATGCCTATATATATTACATACTGAATCTCACGATTTATGATGATCTGAACATTTTTTGAAGAACTGAAGTTGATTTTCAGTTTGATACTCTTGACAATGAGCAAAATCTCTCATGTCAATATTCCAATTCAACTCGACGAATACTTTTAACATATTCATTTCTTCATGAAGAGCACCTGGAATTAATATAAGCCAAGGAAAATCCTTTTTCATTTTCAGTATATAATAATACGGCACTCCATTACATGAACCACGATCTATTTATGCCTATTGTCTTTAACTCCAGATGCTTTTTCAATATGCTCAAGAACTTTTCGAACATTAGCGATCGAATTGGGATTAATTCCTATCAGATCAGAAATAAACATTTGTGGCTCGTGAACCTTTAGAACCGATCTTTGCATATTTAATTCTTTAAACCTATAAGGACAAACAACTAGAGGCTTGTCAGTAGTATTTTTAATATTAGATTGTT